AAGAACATACTCATAATTATTCAAGGACATTTTGTTTTTTTGAACCGGTCTAACTTACATAGACGTGAATATCTTGAATATTTATCGAATAATGATAATCTCAAATTTCAAGACAAATTAATGTCAATTAATGTCAATTAATGTCAATTAATGTCAATTAATGTCAATTAATGTCAATTAATGTCAATTAATGTCAATGTCAGTTTGGGGTTTTCATGGAATACTGACATTAATTGACGTTGCATTCCCCCCCCCCCCTGAACCTACACCTGAGGGGGCACAAGTCAGGGTAAACTTTACTTCCACAACACTCCCACCCTGAGTCACAGCACCCTGAACCTACACCTGAGGGGGAGAGCCAGAGAGCCTGACGTTATTCATCAAGATTTAAGGAAAACTAAAACAAATCACTAATACAAAAAGATAGAATCATTATACGTATAAGAAGGAATTTGAGAAACAAAAAGATCTTCGACAGAGTTTCTAATCCAGCTGTTTAGTTAGCCTATTTGCCGAGTCTGCCTACGCTAGCTAACCCTTCAACTACCTTAGGTGAAAAAAATTTAATGCCGAAAAATTTCAGCTAAACTCAAAACGCGGACGAAATTTTCCGGCATTTAATTTTTGTCGACGAAATTTTTGAACGACGAAATATTTGGGACGCCTACTTTTTTGGTATTTTTTGCATCATTAAATTTTGAAAGTTAAAATTGAGTACATACGAATTAATTCAACTTCAGTTAATAATCTAATTTGGAATGATTCATATTTCATACAGTATAAGAATTGAAACATTTCATACCAAAATGATCATAATATCGTAATATCATAACATTTCTCGCCAATTCTACATTAAATCCGCGAATGGATCCAGTTCACTGACAAAGTTTTCAGAGGCGGCATCGGTTATTCCTGCTTTGGAAAACCCTTTAATTATGTCGTCTTTTCTAGTTGATAGAAAGTTGTAGGTGTCTAATGTCTATGATCCATTCCGGCTCACAATTCCGCCTTTTCACACTAGCAATTGTTTACGTTCAAGTTCATGTCAGTAGAAGCTGTTTTTAAAACTGTTATAGCCAGTCGTGGCTTTCATGTTTACATGAAATCGACATGGCCGAAGCCGGATCTTAGCGACAAGCTCAAAGTTCAACTGGATAAAGATAACAATGACGACCCTTTTGCGGTAGCTGTTATTAAGATCAATAACACGAAAGATAAATCAGCAGCTGGAGAAGTGGTGGGACACTTTCCGAGAGAAATAGGCAGGCATGTTCATTTCTTCATAAAGTTAGGCGGGAAAGTCGATGTCTATGTTTATGATGTTAAATTACATAAAAGTTTGACAGCCTTGAAAGGTCTTGAAATACTACTGAATGCGTCGTTCAGAATCTCTGGGGCGAAAAAATTCGCAGTACTCGAGAGGCTTAAAGATCACATAGAGGCGGAAGCTCTCGATAGTCGATACGGGAGGTACGTATCGAGAATGACTCAGACCGAAAATTTTCTAAGTCAAAGTTTTTCAAAGTTTTTCTGAAAACCACTTTTCTCCACGTTTCAATTTCATGCTACCCGGCCCTGTTCATTATTAGCCAACATTTTGTTTTGGTTTTTCAAACTCCGCACCGTAGTGAAACAAAGCACAATAGTTCCCGATTAAGGGCACAATTGTACCTTTATAACATGCATGCGCACTTCACTCGATTTCTTTGCCAGTCTGGTAATCTAACTATTCAATGATGAACCTCTCATTATTAGGGCAGTGTTTTATATCAACAGTATAGTTTTAATAATGCCCCTTTACTTGACAATACACAAGTTGAAAGATATACAAATAAACAAGTCGTGATGCCGTCACAAGTTTACTGCTTTTTGTTAACAATGTTATTTTGACTAATTAGATCGTGGTAGCGCCTGTGTGGCTAAATGTAATTTGCACCGTAATTATAAAGTTTCTGCAGAGGAAGATTGGAAATCTTTGTCAGTACTTCAGATCGTTGATCTTGAGCAGAATAAATTCAATTATAATATAATGTCACCTCAATTTATCGAGGACCGGAATTTTTCAAATAACTCCGCAACCCAAAAGTTCTTAACTTTCGTTTGATGACGAAATTGTTGCGCGTATATAAACCCAAGTACAAATTTCGAGGAGAGCTTACATATTATGAACAGTCACTAACTGGTAAACAGCAGTGACTGATCTTTAAGCAGCATTATTTTTGTCACAACATTTCTACACGTATAAGGTAGTTTTTAAAAATTTCTTATCGGGAGAAATGTTGTGTCTTAAATGCTACTTTACTAATTTTCAGACGCATTTATTCGGAATACAATAGTTTGCAACCACGCTTATGAATTTTACGTTCATATTTAATTATTTTGCCTTGTAAGATTTCATATTTAAATTAATATTTATTTTCCTGTAATTCATTCTATTGTTAACAAACTTGGAGCCAACTGGGAGCCGATCGGACATTTGGTTCGTTCACTGATCCGGTCTGCTTTCATTTTCAATATCTTGCTCTGTCGAACTTGTTTATTGAACAATCAGGAGTTGAACAATCAGGAGTTGCTAAAAAAAAGCTGTCACAATTATATTGACAAGAATGTAAAATTTCATCTATCAACCGTAACTGTAACTGTAAGTGCCACACTGTGGTCCACACTGACACACTAGAAGTATCCCAGTTTGTTTTAGTTATCATAGGATTTGATGACTATTATAGAGTTCAACTAATCTTGCTATATATAAAGCGAGACGATATATATCCGTACCATTTTACTGACACCACGGCATCAACTTTAACACGATTTTCCGCAAAAACCGTAAGGGGTCGTTTACATATTACGTAATCAATATTTTAGCAAATTTTACCCCCCTCCCCCCTTCCGTAATCAACCGTAATCAAGACCCAACCCCCCCCCCCTCCTGACAGCAATATGACGTAATCATGGCCTGACCCCCCCCCCCCCCCCCCTTGACTTTTTTCCTAGAAAAAACTTTTCGCTACGTTTCATGATCATGCTATCATGATGAGCCGAAATCATTGTTATGATATCCGGCCAAGCACCTTCTAAAATACTTACTATTATAGCCGGATATTCGATCAATTTCTAAATTTTATCACTATCAGAGTGAAATTGAGTGGAATTTGAATTAAAATATTGTCAAATTGTTATTATTCTAGAGGGTAAAAAAGAAAATTTTGATTACGTAATCAACGGCCGAACCCCCCCCCCCCCCCCCCGTAATCAACCGTAAGCATTTGGAAACCCCCTCCCCCCTCGGCTGATTACGTAATATGTGAACGACCCCTAATGAAGGAGTAGTCAGAAATTCCCCGGACAAAGTTGATAAGGTTGTCTACTACCAAATTTCTGACGATAGTAGCTCCGACTGTTCTGATTTAGAAGTAATTTTTGATTAATTTATTTTGAAATATTTGTTTTATTGGTTTCCTAAATGTCTAAATTTGACAAAATAAGACGAAAGTTTTGTAAGCAATTGACGAAATTTTTCGGACGAAATATTTCGGAATAGCTTTTTTCGCGACGAAATTTTTTGCATCTAAGGTATTATAGATTCGTCCGGGTTTTTGAGTGAGAATTCGCGGGAAGAGCCGGGATATCAAATAGAGCGATAGACACCCACGCAGAATCTCTCTATAGCACATTTTCCACTTGTCAAGCCTATCTAATTAAATTTAATCCATTCCGTTAATTATTGACAGTGGCTCCTGTAAGATGTGTAATGTGATACGTGCGCATGATACAATATAGTGTGTAATATATAGAGCACCACTGTTATTTGTTTTGAAACTTCCCGCCAGCTAGTCTGAGGTGACTCCCGGACTCATCTATAAATACAGATCATTTTATTTCAATGAAAATTCGCCGAATGACTTTTCATGCCTTGACAAGTGTACCGAGTGTAAACAAAATTAGGGACACCGAAACACCACACAATGGTGTGATAAAAATTAGTTTATTTCGTGTGATAAAATTTAGTAAAATTCGTGTAGTCAGTGTAGCTTACGTTGCAATTATCGAGCTCTCTTATCTTTTGTTACTTGTGACAAGTTCAGTTTGCTGCTACCGTGTAGTTAGCCTTTGCGTGTGTACTTGCACATTATTATACAAGCACACCATGGAGGATGATCTGAATTTGACCCGATCTCAGGAGAAATCAAGGATTGTTGCGGAATGCGGCTAGGTAGCAGAATAGCATATACATTATACATACATGATACATACATGATACACGTCATGTGTAAATACACCTGATTTTAATTGTCCATAACAAGTTTTCTGTTGGTTTTTTTTGAACCGACAAGATTACCATCAGATATAAACCATTATATTTCACATATCTTCCTAAATTTGGTTTACAGCGATTAATCTAGTTCCTACGAGCAATTCAAGAGAGGTCACCTCATAGAACTTGAATGTAGCACGATCAGTGTTCAATTTGTTTACTTTCGTAATGTACGGTCTTTGTACTCTAACGCTCGCAAATGTGCGCTTTCTTGAATAACGTGTATACCCTGTATAGTAATGTGTAGACACGAACCTAACATATGCATACGTACCCCGGCCCGTAGATAAACAGTCCTTCTTCAAATTTTCGCTTTTGTTGTTGACTGTGTTTTTAGGGTATAGTAGTAGCTCAAACTTTGTAATTATGAAAATACTAAATATATTAGTTTATCTTCATTCCCTTATTCGCTATATCACTGCAACAACTCTTTACTAGTTAAACACTGAAGAAGCTAAGCAGATTTGTCTAATACATGCCTCTAGCTAGGATAAAAGCATGTACAAATCTCCTGTAACAAGTTTCTACATTGCAGTGGATTATCATTACACATTCTAATTATTGTGTGGTGCATTTGAGCAGCAAATTAGCTGTTTGGATGGCAATTTGTTAATGTATAAATAGCTGAAGTTTTGATAAGTTTAATTGCTATTCAAGTTTTAACCACTCTACCCCCAATAGCTGATCCAAGACACCAAGGTAAGATGAACTCTCTACTTCTTTTACTTGCACTCTTCACTATTGGTTACGGTTTTCAGTGCCCTAAATGCGTTACTAACGACTACTCTAATGTGAGCGGTTTTTCGGAGGAGATGAAGACCCTTATTGAGTCAACTCAAGCTGCATCTGGAGGTAAGTGTAGCCTAGTAACCAGTAGCCTAGTAACCAGTAGCAAAGTAACCAGTAGCATGGTAACCAGTTAGTAACCAGTAGCCAATAAGCCTAGAAACCAGTAACCTAGTAACCAGTAGCCTAGTAGCCAGAAGTCTAGTAACCAGAGGCCTAGTAACCAGTAGCCTAGTAACCAGTAACCTAGTACCCAGTAGCCTAGTAACCAGTAGCCTAGACCCTAGTAACCAGTAGCCTAGGCCTAGTAATCAGTAACCTAGTAACCAGTAGCCTAGTAGCCTAGTAACCAGTAGCCTAGTAACCAGCAGCTGTAGGTAAGTGTCATCTCGTATTCAATTCTTTTCAACTTTTTTGCTTCGTATGAGTGAAGTTGTCATGATTTCTTATCGACCATCAATTTTCCGGCCTTTTGTTTTTCATGCTTTTACTGTTTCCTCATTCATGAAATTTGTTAAATCGTGCAAATCGTGTAAAATATTTTTAAAGATCTGTAATGATTTCTGCTTATTTGATTCAGTAATGATAGTACGAGTGTGTCTAAAGGGAGTTCTGTAATGTGTCTGGAGGGAGTTCTGTAATGTGTCTGGAGGGGGTTCTGTAATGTGTCTGGAGGGGGTTCTGTAATGTGTCTGGAGGGGGTTCTGTAATGTGTCTAGAGGGGGTCCGGGTTCTGTAATGTGTATGGAGGGGTTCTGTAATGTGTCTGGAGGGGGTTCTGTAATGTGTCTGGAGGGGGTTCTGTAATGTGTCTGGAGGGGGTTCTGTAATGTGTCTAGAGGGGGTTCTGTAATGTGTCTGGAGGGGGTTTTGTAATGTGTCTGGAGGGGGTTCTGTAATGTGTCTGGAGGGGGTTCTGTAATGTGTCTGGAGGGGGTTCTGTAATGTGTCTAGAGGGGGTTCTGTAATGTGTCTAGAGGGGGTTCTGTAATGTGTCTAGAGGGGGTTCTGTAATGTGTCTGGAGGGGGTTCTGTAATGTGTCTGGAGGGGGTTCTGTAATGTGTCTAGAGGGGGTTCTGGAATGTGTCTGGAGGGGGTTCTGTAATGTGTCTGGAGGGGGTTCTGTAATGTGTCTGGAGGGGGTTCTGTAATGTGTCTGGAGGGGGTTCTGTAATGTGTCTGGAGGGGGTTCTGTAATGTGTCTAGAGGGGGTTCTGTAATGTGTCTAGAGGGGTTCTGTAATGTGTCTGGAGGGGGTTCTGTAATGTGTCTGGAGGGGGTTCTGTAATGTGTCTGGAGGGAGTTCTGTAATGTGTCTGGAGGGGGTTCTGTAATGTGTCTGGAGGGGGTTCTGTAATGTGTCTGGAGGGGGTTCTGTAATGTGTCTAGAGGGGGTTCTGTAATGTGTCTGGAGGGGGATCTGTAATGTGTCTGGAGGGGGTTCTGTAATGTGTCTGGAGGGGGTTCTGTAATGTGTCTAGAGGGGGTCCGGGTTCTGTAATGTGTATGGAGGGGTTCTGTAATGTATCTGGAGGGGGTTCTGTAATGTGTCTAGAGGGGGTTCTGTAACGTGTCTGGAGGGGGTTCTGTAATGTGTCTGGAGGGGGTTCTGTAATGTGTCTGGAGGGGTTCTGTAATGTGTAATGTGTCTGGAGGGGTTCTGTAATGTGTCTAAAGGGGTTCTGTAATGTGTCTGGAGGGGGTTCTGTAATGTGTCTGGAGGGGGTTCTGTAATGTGTCTGGAGGGGGTTCTGTAATGTGTCTGGAGGGGGTTCTGTAATGTGTCTAGAGGGGGTTCTGTAATGTGTATGGAGGGGGTTCTGTAATGTGTCTAGAGGGGGTTCTGTAATGTGTATGGAGGGGTTCTGTAATGTGTCTGGAGGGGGTTCTGTAATGTGTCTGGAGGGGGTTCTGTAATGTGTCTAGAGGGGTTCTGTAATGTGTCTGGAGGGGGTTCTGTAATGTGTCTGGAGGGGGTTCTGTAATGTGTCTAGAGGGGGTTCTGTAATGTGTCTAGAGAGGGTTCTGTAATGTGTATGGAGGGGTTCTGTAATGTGTCTAGAGGGGGTTCTGTTATGTGTCTAGAGGGGGTTTTGTAATGTGTCTGGAGGGGGTTCTGTAATGTGTCTGGAGGGGGTTCTGTAATGTGTCTGGAGGGGGTTCTGTAATGTGTCTGGAGGGGGTTCTGTAATGTGTCTAGAGGGGGTTCTGTAATGTGTCTGGAGGGGGTTCTGTAATGTGTCTAGAGGGGTTCTGTAATGTGTCTAGAGGGGGTTCTGTAATGTGTCTGGAGGGGGTTCTGTAATGTGTCTGGAGGGGGTTCTGTAATGTGTCTAGAGGGGGTTCTGTAATGTGTCTGGAGGGGGTTCTGTAATGTGTCTGGAGGGGGTTCTGTAATGTGTCTGGAGGGGGTTCTGTAATGTGTCTGGAGGGGGTTCTGTAATGTGTCTAGAGGGGGTTCTGTAATGTGTCTGGAGGGGGTTCTGTTATGTGTCTAGAGGGGGTTCTGTAATGTGTCTGGAGGGGGTTCTGTAACGTGTCTGGAGGGGGTTCTGTAATGTGTCTGGAGGGGGTTCTGTAATGTGTCTGGAGGGGTTCTGTAATGTGATTCCCTTTCAGCTGACTGTGATGCCCCGGAGATGGCAACGTGTGAGGATAACGACATGGAGTGTGTGACACTATCAACGAAAGTCAGGTACTTTCTGATAAATACAGTAACCAGTAACCTAGTTACCAAGAAATCGGTAACCTAGTAACCACTAACCTAGTAACTTAGTAACCAGAAACCTAGTAACCAGGAACCTATTGAATCCCCATGGTTGCCCATGAGAAGGAACCTAGTAACTAGTAGTCTAGTTACCAGTAGCCTAGTAACGAATAGCCTAGTAACCATGAACCAAGTAACCGGTGCACAGTAGCATAGTAACCAGTAATACCACACTGATCAATTCAATAACCCTGCAATATTTGAAACACCTGATTGTCAAAATGCTTAATGTAATTTGATAATTTAAATTAAATTTAACACTGAAATCAAATTCTACAGCTACGAAGTGAGCTCTGAGAATGTGGAGATGGAGAATGTTTCACATCTTCAGAAGGAATGCGTGGCTCGCTCGGCAACATGTTCTGACATGCAGACTGGGTTTGACTATGTCAACCAGATGCTGGAGGGAGCCATGGTTATGAAACTGCAATATTGTGAGTTTTTAATTACTAACAATAGTTCAAACAATAGTTCAAATGTCACTGATAACTATCCCGGGTTGGGTCTGAAAGTGATGATATCACCATAAAAAAGAAAACCGCAATAGGTTTTATAATTGTTTCTGAGTTAAACCATTCTGTACTATATTAGTCTATAGTAAAACCCCGGTTTACCACACACCCCCGATTTACCGCAAACCCCGATTTACCGCTGCTTTTTCCTTTCTTCCATACTGTAGTAGTTAGTGCTCCTCAATATTTCTCAATTTATAACTCTTTCAGGTAATATCCAGTTTGAGCCTAATAATAGGTATACTAACACTGAGTCTGACACTGAGTCTCACGCTGTCTCGTTCTCCTTTTCACTGGCTGCAGCTCTACCTCTACTCGCCCTACTACTTTAGAGACTATTACTAGTCAATGAGTTATTACCTAGTAACCTAGTAACAGAGTAACCAGTAGCCTAGTAACCAGTAACCAGTTTCGTTAAAGATTTTGGATTTTAATTTCGATCTTATAGAATAACAAAGTTGAATGTTTGGGCGATTGTTAACTAGCCGCATAGAATATATTGAATGTTAATTATTTCATCTTATTTATCAGCTTGACTGTTGACCGAATTATTTTCTCAATATTTTGGATATTACTTCTGATGAAGCTGTGATCATTTCTAACTTTCTAATTAAGTCGTTGTGTTTATTTGTTAATATAATAACTCAAGGTATTAACTCCAACCTAGCATAATATTAAGACAATTAACCGCGAAATAATATAACAGTAATATTAGTAATATTAGTAATATCAGTAATATTAATAACATTAGTAACATTAGTAATATTAATAACATTAGTTATATTGGTAACATTAGTATTATTAGTAATATTAGTAACATTAGTAATATTAGTAACATTAGTAATATTAGTAACATTAGTAATATTAGTAATATTCAGTAATATTCAGTTATATTCAGTAATATTCAGTAATATAAGTGTAATTAGTAATATCAGTAATATTAATAACATTTGTAACATTAGTAATATAAGTAACATTAGTAATATTGGTAACATTAGTAATATTAGTAACATTAGTAACATTAGTAATATTAGTAACATTAGTAATATTAGTAATATTCAGTAATATTCAGTAATATTCAGTAATATTCAGTAATATTCAGTAATATAAGTGTAATTAGTAATAATAGTAATATAACTAACTGAGCGTGTCTGACCTGACTGAAAGCAGCAAGAAGGCTGGTCTCCACACCTCCCCTGCTCCGAATAAACACCAGCTAAGAAGTTCCAGCACTTCTCCTCGTCCCCCACGGCCCCTAACGGCCCCGGACTCTTCTCCGGGGGGTGCTGGTTCCAGGTAGTCGGGTCCGGTCTCTGGGTAGGGGTGTCCGGGGCCTTCTCCGTCACTACTGATACAGTCGCAGTGGGGGAGGTGGTGTTTTTAGCTTGTGTCCAGGGTGTACTGGTTACTAGGTTACCAGGTGTACTGGAGGGCGACGCTTCAAATCCTGTGCTCAATTCCCTGACGGTGAAAACACTTAATCATAGATTAGGTTTCATATCTTATCCGTAAACTAACACCATACCATTTAGACTAACAACATACCATTACACTAACAACATACCATTAGACTAACACCATACCATTAGACTAACAACATACCATTAGACTAACAACATACCACTAGACTAACAACATACCACTAGACTAACACCATACCATTACAGGCACGTAGCCAGGGGGGGGGGGGGGCACACTGCTGCCATGGGCCCGACCATGCCAACTGTCCGTTAAAGTGAGATAATTAGCAAATTCTTAACTCAGAAATCCTCACTACAAGACAATTTCCCTAAAAGATCTGACAGCACCATCTAACTATGTAATACCACTCACACACTGTTCTTGTTTCAATATGAGCTTTATTTCTCTTCGGTGGCACCTCTCTGACTATTGAAGCAGAGACCTTCGTCACCGAAACCTAGAAGACTAACAAAGTATATTGTATAATCTATCTTGAACGAAGGGACACGCAGGGCTCTGTGGTCAGAATATAACTCTTACCATAAAAGACGTTGCCAATGTTAAATTGTTATGCTCAATGCTCATGTTATGCGCATAATATTTGTGGGCAGAGCATACCCATTGTTAACGAGCACCAACAACCCCTGCTTCAACAGCTCAGTAATGATCTAGTTTTTAATACTAGTACTACTAACATAATAGAATCTGTCCCAGTCTACTAAAAGTAAAAATAGCGTCCCTTTTCTCGGGGGCCTCCATATTATCAGCTCAGCAGCTATTGTCCAATATTGCAGGACCATCTAACTCGTTACTCCTTAACCTTAGGAGAGGTAGTATCTGAGAAGAGGTTGGGTCTGGGGCCAGGGACCCAGTTAAGCGCAACCAAGCACCAGTTTTGTCGTTTACAGAGTTGTTTATGTGGCTCCGCATATTGTCCCCCATTTGGGAAAGTTTCGCTATAAGGGTCCTCCGCCGTAGGGTCCTCCGCCGTAGTGTACCATTTTTATAGCGTCGTTCAATGCGTGACATTAATTTTGATCGTATAGATAAATTGCTAAACGATATTTTTACAGAATGAGATTCAAGTTAGTCATATTTGTGGTCTTGCTTGTGGGATGTAATGGAATTAACACAGGTGAGGTTTCACCCCCCCCTCCCTTTCACCTTCTAATCAGGGGTTACAAAAACGTGTGTTCAAAAAGTCTGTTCTAGTATTGAGCTGAGATATTACAGCTTTGATTGTCTCAGAGTTTAGTATGTAGTTTATCATTACATAACATCATATTATTTCTCCAGGCCCTATTTTCACTCCGGTCACCCGAGATACCTTTATCTACGTGGACCTAGAGAAGGAGGATCTGTTGATAAGATCTGATGATACCAGCTGGGAGACCGGGGAAAGGGTTTTTGTCATGATCTTTGATGAGACAAATTACAAGAAAATCAGTGCTTTCGCTCTTCTCTTCAGCGGAAATGAATACACGTATCGTGTAGGGATGTGCTCAGACTGGTCAATGCCGTGGCAAAGCTTCTCGGGTAATATTCCAGAGGAGCAGAATAAAACTTGGAGAATATCAGAAAGATCAGACAGTCTGGTAGTTTCATGCAACAATGTTCAAGTTGCGGAGTATAAATTCTCCCACGGTGCTATGGGTCAATGTGCTGCACAGTGGGGTCTGGATGCAGCTAGGATCAAATTTCCAAGTTATCATACAGCTTCTGTTAGTTACGCTGTCGAACCGAGAATTGATACCGGTAAGCTCTTGATTTGAAAGATTTACACAATCATATGTAAATGTACACTATCCCTAAATAAGCCATGACAACCCATGACCCTTGACCCCTTTTTTAATCCTAACATATTACATAAGTAATACCTCCCCCCCCCCCCTATTCCTTCAATTACTATTTATCACTTAACTCCGATATCAATTGACGATTATCAGATCAATAATCCTGGAGAATTTTGAATTAAGAACGTTTTTTTAGAGAGGCTGGGCCTGGGTGGCCCACGAGAGGATAGCATGTGGATGCTTTGCCTACCTCTGGGGTGTGGCAGTCCTATGGGAGGATGCAGGTCGCAGGAGGAATCAGAATGTGTAATATGGATGATGGTAAGTGTTGTAAGATGTGTCGTGTATGAACGCTTATGGGACATACACCCAGGCACGTAGCCAAGGGGGGGGGGGGGGGGGCCAAGGGGTATTATAAAAAAAATCCTGGCTACGTCCCTGTACCAGACTAACAACATACCACTACACTAACAACATACCATTCGACTAACAACATACCATTACACTTACCAGCAAATGCTGGACCACACTGCAAAAAACGTAAAGCTCATTTTAATCCTCATATCTGTCCTTCAAACCGCTGCCAGTGCGTCTGTTTTTAATATTTCTTGTTCTTTTTTAATATTTCTTGTTCTTTTTTAATATTTCTTGTTCTTAGACTTTGTCCCTTGCTTAAATCATAGTTATTTGTGAGAAAGATTTATTCTTAGTCGAGAAATTCAAATTATTGATTGTAATAAAAACATTACCAATCGATTGAATCTGGAAATTGGCAAGATCAAACTTCTAAGCAATTTCTTTTAATTCAGAATTGAAAACAAAATGTTAAGCTTCGAATTAAATAATATTGTAATAATGTGTCTTATCTACAGAAAACTATAAAATAATTTAACAGATTCCAAAATGTTCCTCGGCCTGATCCAAACATATATACAGTATATTATTTATACATAACAGTGAATCTTTTATAGTCAGGGGGCAACAAGCAGGGATAATTAATTGTTGAATAATATAAATAATTATATAGCAGAATCACAGAATATAGTGGTATATTTTATGATCATATAATTAGGATAGAAAACAAACTGTGTGAACTAAGTAGGTAGGTTACCAGGGTTACCAGCCAGTAACCAGGGAACTAAGTAGTAGGTTACCAGGGTTACCAGCCAGTAACCAGGGAACTAAGTAGGTAGGTTACCAGGGTTACCAGCCAGTAACCAGGGAACTAAGTAGTAGGTTACCAGGGTTACCAGCCAGTAACCAGGGAACTAAGTAGTAGGTTACCAGGGTTACCAGCCAGTAACCAGGGAACTAAGTAGTAGGTTACCAGGGTTACCAGCCAGTAACCAGGGAACTAAGTAGTAGGTTACCAGGGTTACCAGCCAGTAACCAGGGAACTAAGTAGTAGGTTACCAGGGTTACCAGCCAGTAACCAGGGAACTAAGTAGCGGTAGTGAAGGTAGGGTTAGTGACAGTGAACTGAACATTGCCGTTAGCTAACCCCGAGCTGCCCACCATCACACTCTTCTGTCCCATTCTCCTCAGCTTCCTATTCAGGACCAGGTAGGTTACCAGGGTTACCAGCCAGTAAGCAGGGATGGAGGTCAGGGAGATCCAATGTTGGTGGTGACAGTAGAACGACTTTCCGTACTGGTCAAACTTACACTCCGACGTCCTGAGATTAAGTAGCTTTTAATAGGGAGCTTATCACGATTTACACATGTATTTTGAAAGCTCCTGCTAAAAAACAAACTTTTCGTATCACTTATATGTTTTAAATAATCCCCCTCCAAGGGAGCTTTTCTTAGATAAGAGGTGGACTAACAACATATCATTACACAATGTACCAGAGGTAGATATACATTGTAATACAGAGTATCTTCGTTCTGTCCTTTCGTGGGCCTCTTAGATAAAGCCTTTCTTTTTAAAAGTAACTTATTGAGGAGTACTACCCACCAGTGCAGGGGGGGGGGCGCCAAATCGTCGTTTGAATGTGGGACAATTTTGAAAAACTGAACTAAGGTACTAGCAAAATTGCGCGTTTTGCTCCAGAAACACACTTTTTTAGAGATTTTACCGGCGTATCCTCTACAGTCTACATTTTCGGCGGGGTAGGAGCGCCAACAGGCAACGCTAGCTACTAATAAAGTAACTCACTTGTGACTACAGTAACTTACTTGTGACTACAGTAACTTACTTGTGACAACAGTAACTCACTTGTGACAACAGTAACTCACTTGTGACAACAGTAACTTACTTGTGACAACAGTAACTTACTTGTGACTACAGTAACTTACTTGTGACTACAGTAACTTACTTGTGACAACAGTAACTTACTTGTGACTACAGTAACTTACTTGTGACTACAGTAACTTACTTGTGACTACAGTAACTTACTTGTGACAACAGTAACTTACTTGTGACAACAGACTGCATCTTTAACGTTGCCACAGCAAAAGTGTTGCTTCTCACAGCACCCCCGGGTAAACTTGTCTCCAAGGAAACAAGTATCAGTTTCTGTGCGGTTAATCTTACAGAACTTAGATACATCTCCAACTGCCTCCCCTCCGGGCGATTCCGAACTTGTATGATTATCTGAAAGCATAGTATGTTATATATTTTTATTTACAAATAAAGTTGTGAAAAATAAAGTTGTGACAATATGTGAGAGATGAGTTACTTGTGGGAGATGAGGTTGGGGAAGAAGAGGTTGAGGAAGAAGTTGTAGTTGAGGAAGAAGAAGTTGAGGAAGAAGAAGTTGAGGAAGAAGTTGTAGTTGAAGAGGAAGATGTATTTGAAGAAGATGAAGCGTTAGTGAAAGGTATTGGAGTGGTCTGCATGATGAACAACCTGTGATAGTGAATGTTGTCAGTACTACTGCTGTAAAATGAATTGTGAAATCTAAGGATCTGGTTGAAAGTGAAGGGCAAGCATAGCCCATTTGTCTTCAACATCAGAGTGTTGTTTTCTCTACTACGATAGTAAGGAATGTGCTAATGTAACGATAGTAAGGAATGTGCTAATGTAACGATAGTAAGGATTGTGCTAATGTAACGATAGTAAGGATTGTGCTAATGTAACGATAGTAAGGAATGTGCTAATGTAACGATAGTAAGGATTGTGCTAATGTAACGATAGTAAGGAATGTGCTAATGTACTCACATGAGAGTGACGAGTGTGCAACACAGTGCTGCGTTCCTAACCGCCATTACCTTCCTTACAATGATAATGCTGTTAAAACCAAGCTAAATTGTTACGTCTTTTAATGAATTGTGATAAGGCTGAAGATGTAATTTACAATCATATAATGAATATCATAACTGTTAAGAAGATAAAATTGAGGTAGAATTGACGAAAGATTGACGAAGATTCTGCAGCATAAGACCTGGCATATTGTTTACAATTAGATTACATGATAACTCCGTTGCTTTACGCAACTACTACACTAGTAGCACCAACACATGTCCCCTGAAGTTACACAGAACGTGGTGATAGCTGCGATGTAGTTTGCGACAACTCTGCTTGCTTTCTCTCCTCATATAATCAGACAGAAAATAAAAGTACATTGAGCGAGCTTGTCACACTGTACTAGTCTCTCGGAATAATGTTCTGAAGATCTTGTTCTGATTGCATAAAGCAGATGCGAGTTGTACTGCAAGCAAGCAACACTGGTCACGTGGGCACCGTATGATACGTGCTTTCCAAAACTTTGCATGCTAGTGTTTCCAAATTACAGTTGCTATGGTTGATAATCACTGCTCTTGCAAAATCAATGTTAATTGTTGGCAATTTCATCGTTTTAAGCCTTGTTTCGACCAAATTTTAATTTGCCAAACGTTTTATTAGTAGCAGGAAGCTTTGTTCGACATTATCTGCCCGAAATTATGAAAAATGAATGTTTATTTTTTATTTAAACAAGCAAAACAGCCCGCAGTAGAGTCCCATGTAGCATGAATACGGACTCAAACTCGGTGGCGCTCTTCATCGAGCAGGATGGCAACCAATACAATGACCTGTGGCTTGCCATGGCTGTCATCTTCGGAGTCATGTTGGGATTCTTCCTCGGGGTTTTCATCCTTTTCATCATCAGGAGAAACTTCCCTGCCATGTACACCAAGGTAACATCAATAAAATTAATAAGATTGATAAGAGGTGCTCTTCACTTTAAAACCAATATCATCAAGACAAGTGGCTACAACTACTACAATGATAACAAATGATCTCTTAATAGGCGGACGCTCAAAGAATAGCAGAGTCGGGACTTCAGCCCGAGGAGATGGAGGAGATGGGGACCAAACAGGATCCTGACACCTACTCGGAGATTGTTCCGCCCGTGAGTCCTTGTGTATTACTAGCAGTACCACATTAAATGTAATCAAAATAGTTGCCCCTTAGTCATGTCATTTAAGAGAAGTTTCTCAACCTTTACCAATCACCTTCCAGGGAGTTGGTCCACAGCAAACGATTCTATCAGCAGACCCTAAGTCAAGACCTCTGTCCTGGGTAAGAAGACAGTCTACCATAGACCTGGGAGAGGAGGCTGACAATGACGGCATGATCGACGCTCTGGCTCAGGATTCTTGGTAAGTGGTACTGTCCCATATTAATATTCTATCAGTACAGAGACTACATTCACTGAACTTCCAACTCACGACGTTTGCTCTATACTAACGGTTATACTAACGGTTTACCCTTCAGTGTACAAATGCAGATGGCTACGATATCCCAAGAATTCACCAAGATCGTAAAGTACGAAGAAGACCTACAAAATCAGTACAGAATAATCTTCCTAAACCTCATCAACATCTACCTGGACAGCTTGGTGCAACAGAAGATGATCGAACCTGAGCATAAACAAGAAATGTCCGACGAGTTTAGTGCCCGATTGAGGGAAACCGAATCGGAGTGGAGAAGCAAAATAGCAGCTTCGATTCGCGTAAGAACCTTGCCCCTTTTGTATTCAACAGCGATTCGTCTTTGCTATTTACAGGGCCAGTTTGCAACTATATTCAGATCCGAAAACTACTCTGTCCTTTAGTAATGCAATTAACAAGTTTACCTGATTATGAAATATCATGGTTTCTAATCTGTATTTACTGGACGGCCACGGCCAAAACAATCAACACATAACCACATATAGCAACGCTATCTTATTAGACACGGTAACCTAACTAAGGCAATAAACTAAACGATCCAATAACGACAGGATTACGAGAGGATGACTGGAGACTCCCTTCAAGCAAACCACATCGAGGAGCTAAGGTACCAAGCTGCCATGGATCTGGAGACGGAAATGCTTGACATTCGGGAGAGTCTCAGACTACAGCTAACTGAGAAGACACCACTCAAAAACGAAGAGGTAGTTTCAGCTTCCTATATGATGACAAATTGTTTAGCTTTGACACATCACTTTTTGTACCATACTATCACAATCGTAAAATAATTGCTGTGATTTATCAGATCGAGTTTATGGAAGAAAAACTGGTTGAGAATCTCACAATGTTATGCGAAATTATCAACGGAGAATACGTGTCTGCGTCCAAGGCTCAAACAGGAAGATTTGAAGTTATGAAGAAAGCTGGCTGCCTACAGTTCCCTAGCGCCGTCTACGTAAGTACAACTTTGGAACACTGCCAACAGAAGAACCAGTAGCACATGAAATTTCTGTTCATGTTGAAAGAACCTAAAGGCTAGTTCGTTTTCGTGTCTTCTATAGATTATAACATGTTCTCTGTGTAGGAGCCGGAAGAAGTAGAGGTCATGATACAGAAATTCAAATTGATGCTAAATGACCTGAAAACTACGGCTAAATTGAGTGGATCTATAGTTACCAAGTTGGTTAAAACCTTCGAAGATAGGATCCGGGCCGCTGACACCAAACTCTCAGAAGGTTAGAAAGCTATTACGGAATACTACTAGTTACCATAGTTACGGAATTTGGACTCAACCAACGTTACAGACTTGTATTCTAGAGAAAATGAAAACATCAGCCAAGTTGATATCAGGGATGAAGTATTAAAATTTCACATCCAAGTTTTCAGAATTCGACCAGAAGCTTGGAGTTAAGCAGACGAGTTGCGCAAAGGAGCGTGTGACAGAGATGAAACGGATAAAGACCTGGAAGAGAAACACGGAGATAGCTTCAACTGCTAACCAGTCTTACCAGGCTGCAGTGGACGGTCTCATCGAACCATCACGCTACATCCAGACTCTGCACGAGCTGCAGCAGACCGTCAGACTTGACAAGATGCTGGCTATCAAACGGATAGACGTCAAGGAGGGAGAGTCGTACGAAAAGTTGATCCAGGAGAGGATAGACGGAAAACGCAGGTAAGAATTTTCCTGTAGAAAGATTCAAATTTGGTTAATTTGGTTAATATATCTCGGGTGAATCACTTGAATATTAATGGTAGCGACAATTTGGAACGTCAACATAACTTGGCTCAGGAACAGATGAGAAACATTCGATTGTCTAAAAGAGCCGCACTCCGCACGCATTCGCTGCAAACACGCATGTTATTTAGCTCACTAATAAGAACAACATATCATTTATAAAACAAAATAATTTACACGGAATTTTTCAGATATTATCAGGATATTCTGTCGGATGCGATTGGAACAATAAAACTTGAGAAAAATATGGACGGTGCGATGTTAGACAAGAAGTCAAAAAAATTCCAGGAAGATATGGCAAAGCACAGAGGTATTCAGGGTTAATTTTCTGAAAATTCCAGCTGACACTTTAGAATTTTGGACTGCGGAAATTTCTTCTTATTGTTGAATCCCATAACACTTAGTATTAGTAAAGATTCCGCTAACATAAAACTATCCTTACGATGAATGAAGTAGAGGGATACATGATTGAGCAGAGGGATAAAATTTTATGAGTTACAAAAAACCCAACCCAACACATTCCACCAGCTGAAAGAATTGGGGTACTGAAGAAGGAGATAGAGAAGCAGCTGGACGAGAACGAGGCTGTGAGGGAGAGGCTGGACAGGGAGATCAGGAGACAGAGTGCAGATCAGGAGGAGTTACTGGGAGAACAGGAGGACGCAGTCAAGGAGGTCCTCCAGACCCAGAGCGGCCTTACTGAGATGTGAGTCCTTACATTTCACACTCATCTTTAGTAGCCTTACTGAAATGTTTGTCATAAGTCCTTACATTTCACACTCATCTTCAGTAGCTTACTGAGATGTGGCTCCTTGCATTTCACACTCATCTTCAGTAGCCTTACTGAAATGTTGGTCATAAGTCCTTACATTTCACACTCATCTTCAGTAGCGTGGAGTTGTTTACACAATTTACTGCCATTTACATTCATGTTAAGTCAGTTCTAGCACTCCTACGTTTAAAACCTCAATCCACGCATGTTGCAAGCTGCTGATTTGCTAGTTTAAATGTTTACTGTACAATTTTGTCATGCTCACGTCATGTTGTTGCTTCAGAGACCGAGAGCAAATGATGGCAATACATCAGCACCAAGCGCTGGGAGTTATCAACATGCTATTCATGAACAGAATGAGGGTGGTGAAGCGAGTGGAGATGTTGAGGTTACAGCACAATGAGGAGCTCAGGGTACTGAACAGGTCAGAGAAGACTGAGATTGATGCTGTGGCGGTCACCTCTGGTTCCAAACCACTGAACAAGAAACAGCAGAAAGCAATTCAGACCATCGAGCAGAAATACGTGAGTTTGAGAAGTTATAATTTACAGAAACAACGTAAGACCCTGGTAACTGGTAAGGCAGCTTGGGGCCGGGGGCCAGTTATGTTTATCCACAAGAACTCCGATTGTTGGGCTTATCGTCCCATACTTTTACCAGATGCAAATAAAATGAAACATTTCCTGAATCGTAGTATTACAAATCATCAGGCCGTCATAAGAGAAGAAAAGAAAAAGGATTTCATACTCGATGGAGATCAAGCTATCAACGAAGTGCGCCAGTGAGTTGCAGTTTGATCACCTTTCTCTGATGATAAACATCTTTGTTGATAATATTTCACATTACATGCACGATCCACTCTCAGTTCATTGTTATCAATTACGAGACAACATTTTCCAGGAAGATATTCGAGGTGACCAATCAAATTCTGAGTCAGTTTGACGAGCGAATGGGTGTCCTGCTAGCTAAACTGCAGGTGTCTCATGCTAGGAGAGAGGGAACAAAGGTGAAAACCACCCAGGTCCTCAATAAGATCAAAACCAAGCTGGTCGACATCATCTGGACTGATGGGTACATTTCGGAGACTGCCTGCAAGAAAACCCTCCAAGATCACCACAAGGTAGTACAGGATGTGAGTGACAAGTTCGCTGTCAAACGAACCACCAACCTCGAGCAGATTAAGAAGGTCTCGGCGGAGAAGCGATATAAGAGGGAAACTTCGATGAATGAAGACATTCAGGAGCTAATAGAAAATTATAAGGCAAAAGAGCATTCCAACTATGGACGAACGCAGCCGCTGTGGGAGAACTGGTCTAGCATGAAACAAGAGGTAACTTTATTTGATGATAGTCAGTGAGAACTATGAACCTCTACTGGGCTACTGTAACTTTCGTTGAATTTTATAGAGACTGACCGTAAAACGAACCTCAGATCGAGAAGCACAACACAAGCATGGAGCTAACACGACAAGTTCAAGACCTCTACAACGCCACTGAGGACGAGTTCGCTTCCAACCTGCAGGACGAGGAGATCAACATCATTCTAGAGCTGGTCAAGATGGGTAGGATGGACATCAACGAGTTCGACAAGATAATCAAAAGCTCAGTCACCGGTAGGGAAATTTTAGGATCCCCTCAATTAGAGTGATGTGTACAATAATGTAAACCATGACAATGGTAATATAATGGCAATGGTCATATTTTGTACGTAATGCTACAAGTTTTCGATCTGCACTGCGACTAAGAGTAAGACAAATTATAAAAACTGGCGGCAAAATTTATATGGGAATCATTTCAGCGTGTGTAGGTGGAGACAAGTTGTACAAGGAGCTGAGCACGCCTCTTCTGGAGAAATACGGTCCGACAGCCAAGAGAGCCGACAAAGCTATGGATTTCTGGCAAGTTGCCACGGATCAGATGGCCCCGCCTAAAGACCCTAAACTAGCAGCCGAGAGGGCAGCTGAGGTGTGGAGGGCTAGGCTGGGAATATACGGAGACAGTAACGAACAACGATGAAACTTGCTCTTGTTAAACTAGATCATTGAAAGTACAAGTGTTGTATTCTGGGTATGCCAGATAAACGACTTCGAGCCCAGCGGACTATTGTGTAATGTGAAGAACTGGTTTTCATGGAAACATGTTACTATAGCAGCAAACCTCAGATAAACATGGTGTTTTAGGTATTGAAACCAACTCTAAGACTGGTTGTCATGGTAACAACTCTAACCTGCTTCTTGCTATGAGGAAGTAATGAACTTACATTTTTATAACTACTTTGGGGCGATGTGTTGAGACGAAGGTTAACAAAAACTCACAAAGAATCATACAAAATATCTATCAAGTGAACATTTACATTATCAAAAGAGCAAAAGCTCAAAATCACACAATTCTATGGCCTTAATTTCGGTGCTCTATGTAATTTATTTGAAATCGTTGTTATTTTAAATCTTCGTTTCTTCTGAGTTGCGAAAAACTGATTATTACATGTACTCTTGAAACTGTTACTAGAGTAACGGTTGCCAGAGCAACCCACATCTTATATTTCTTCCTAAACCAGCAAAGTGCAAATCTATCTCCCTGTTATCTTTTCACTGTAAAACATCGTACGCAACGACCGCTTCATTTAACACTCAACTTTAACTTGCAAAATGCAAATTCAAAGTGTGCCGTATATCGTATTACAAGCAATAACTTAATCATTTTTAAAGCCAGCAGAAATTGCAGAAACTTCGAGAAGTTAAACGGTCGAGACGGCGATGTTTCACAGTAAAAGAGCAGTAATACTAAAGTCCGAATCTCAGTTAGCCACAAACTTCTCACAGATAAACTCCCTGAAGGAGTCGCAGCCCTCATCGTTCCACCGTCCCGTACTCAGGTCCATCTCCACGCAGTCCTCCTGCTCCCACACGTACAGCCCGTTATTCGGCTCTCCGTCGTTAAAATTCTGCGGGTTTGTTCTGGTTAACATATGTAGTACTTTATTAAGCTTAAAATTCTGCGGGGTTGTTCTGGTTAACATCTGTAGTAATTTATTAAGCTTAAAATTCTGCGGGTTTGTTCTGGTTAACATATTCTGTAGTACTTTATTAAGCTTAAAATTCTGCGGGGTTGTTCTGGTTAACATCTGTAGTACTTTATTAAGCTTAAAATTCTGCGGGTTTGTTCTGGTTAACATATTTTGTACTTTATTAAGCTTAAAATTCTGGGGGGTTGTTCTGGTTAACACATTCTGTAGTACTTTATTAAGCTTAAAATTCTGCGGGTTGTTCTGGTTAACATCTGTAGTACTTTATTAAGCTTAAAGTTCTGCGGGGTGGTTCTGGTTAACATCTGTAGTAATTTATTAAGCTTAAAATTCTGCGGGTTTTTCTGTTTAACATCTACACAACGGGGCACGTTTAACCAAAGAATTTAGCTCACCTTGTAAGACACCGCCGAACTATCGACCCATTCCCACACACCTTCGGAAGGCCTGAAATATCGGTATTATTACTGAAATGTCTAGCCTTATTATTTTCTAACAATTCCCTATCTGTATACAGGGGTTCTGTCCTTTGTTTTTTAGCAGTGATCTCTCAAAAAACTGCTTAAAATAAGGCCAACCAATCAGGACTTTGACTGCTCACGTGACATAGCCAGGTCACATGTGACATAGCCAGGTCACGTGACATAGCCAGGTCACGTGACATAGCCAGGTCACGTGACATAGCCAGGTCACGTGACATAGCCAGGTCACGTGACATAGCCAGGTCACGTGACATAGCCAGGTCACACGTGACATAGCCAGGTCACGTGACATAGCCAGGTCACGTGACATAGCCAGGTCACGTGACATAGCCAGGTCACGTGACATAGCCAGGTCACGTGACATAGCCAGGTCACGTGACATAGCCAGCTCACGTGATATAGCCAGGTCACGTGACATAGCCAGGTCACGTGACATAGCCAGGTCACGTGACATAGCCAGGTCACGTGACATAGCCAGGTCACGTGACATAGCCAGGTCACGTGACATAGCCAGGTCACGTGACATAGCCAGGTCACGTGACATACAGGGGTTCTGGTTGGCTTGCTTGAAAAGACACCATTATTTGATTTGGATAAAATTCTGAAAAAGAAAACTAACACGTCGTGTAGTCCTATCCAGATGTTGGTTGTCTTGTTAGAGAGTTGTTGCAAGAGTGCGTTCTCGGATCTGCTGTTGATTGCTACCAGTCGGCTCTGAAAAAGTAGTCATGGTAACGCAGTGTGAGGGTTAGTTTAGTGTTAGTTTGCGACAGGGTGTCCCAAAAAACACTACCCAATAAGAAACCCTCCTAATTGTCTCAGTTTAACCTCATTGGTTTTCCCTGGTTTTGATCTCTTAATATGATTTTCTAGAGGGTTAGGAGACTTTTTTAGGACTTTTTGATGGGCAACATTTTTTCGATGTTAAAGATAGCGAAGAAATCTTGGTATGATCCCAGAATAGGTGATAGTTTTCGTCCATGATGGAATCCTAGTTTTGAAACGTTTAGACTGCCCCAAGTTGTAAATCAGCCATATACAGACACAATGGAAAGTATTCTTCACAATGAGAACTGAAATGGAGGTTTTTGATATGGTCCAGCATGTTTTGGGAGCATTTTCGGGCCACACCTTTTTTTAACCTTTAACTGCGTAATTTTGTCCTATTTTCATATTATTTTAAATTTTTGCCTACCTTGATCTGTCAGTACACTTACCAAGAAACATATGCAACCATCAAAGCTAGAAAATTAGCGACTTTCGCATAAAAAATTGCATAATTTATGCAAATTCGGCCTATCGTCCATTTTTGGGTTTCAGGCCAGCTGGGAAATGACCATTTGTGAGCACCTCTTGGGACTTTTAGCATTAACTGTGGTGTTCGGGAGTTAGATGAGACAAAAAGGAACAGTTTGCAATCAAATTCATGACAAAAGTTTTTTTCCTCTTGGCTCAGCGCTCCGAATGGTGGACAAGTCCATAATTTGAGGACTATTCCGGACAATTTTTGACATTTTTAAAATGAGGACTTAAAATAGTTTGCTTAAGTTTTCAGAAGTCTCAAACAAATCTCCCAACCCTTTATGTAAACATACTAAGACATGAGTACCATTAAAGGAAAATTGAGAAAATTAGGAGGATTAGTGTACTAGTCGGCTCTGAAACGCACAGCGTGAGGGTTAGTTTAGTGTTAGTAGTCATGGTAACGCAGCGTGAGGGTTAGTTTAGTGTTAGTAGTCATGGTAACGCAGCGTGAGGGTTAGTTTAGTGTTAGTAGTCATGGTAACGCAGCGTGAGGGTTAGTTTAGTGTTAGTAGTCATGGTAACGCAGCGTGAGGGTTAGTTTAGTGTTAGTAGTCATGGTAACGCAGCGTGAGGGTTAGTTTAGTGTTAGTAGTCATGGTAACGCAGCGTGAGGGTTAGTTTAGTGTTAGTAGTCATGGTAACGCAGCGTGAGGGTTAGTTTAGTGTTAGTAGTCATGGTAACGCAGCGTGAGGGTTAGTTTAGTGTTAGTAGTCATGGTAACGCAGCGTGAGGGTTAGTTTAGTGTTAGTAGTCATGGTAACGCAGCGTGAGGGTTAGTTTAGTGTTAGTAGTCATGGTAACGCAGCGTGAGGGTTAGTTTAGTGTTAGTAGTCATGGTAACGCAGCGTGAGGGTTAGTTTAGTGTTAGTAGTCATGGTAACGCAGCGTGAGGGTTAGTTTAGTGTTAGTAGTCATGGTAACGCAGCGTGAGGGTTAGTTTAGTGTTAGTAGTCATGGTAACGCAGCGTGAGGGTTAGTTTAGTGTTAGTAGTCATGGTAACGCAGCGTGAGGGTTAGTTTAGTGTTAGTAGTCATGGTAACGCAGCGTGAGGGTTAGTTTAGTGTTAGTAGTCATGGTAACGCAGCGTGAGGGTTAGTTTAGTGTTAGTAGTCATGGTAACGCAGCGTGAGGGTTAGTTTAGTGTTAGTAGTCATGGTAACGCAGCGTGAGGGTTAGTTTAGTGTTAGTAGTCATGGTAACGCAGCGTGAGGGTTAGTTTAGTGTTAGTAGTCATGGTAACGCAGCGTGAGGGTTAGTTTAGTGTTAGTAGTCATGGTAACGCAGCGTGAGGGTTAGTTTAGTGTTAGTAGTCATGGTAACGCAGCGTGAGGGTTAGTTTAGTGTTAGTAGTCATGGTAACGCAGCGTGAGGGTTAGTTTAGTGTTAGTAGTCATGGTAACGCAGCGTGAGGGTTAGTTTAGTGTTAGTAGTCATGGTAACGCAGCGTGAGGGTTAGTTTAGTGTTAGTAGTCATGGTAACGCAGCGTGAGGGTTAGTTTAGTGTTAGTAGTCATGGTAACGCAGCGTGAGGGTTAGTTTAGTGTTAGTAGTCATGGTAACACAGCGTGAGGGTTAGTTTAGTGTTAGTAGTCATGGTAACACAGCGTGAGGGTTAGTTTAGTGTTAGTAGTCATGGTAACGCAGCGTGAGGGTTAGTTTAGTGTTAGTAGTCATGGTAACGCAGCGTGAGGGTTAGTTTAGTGTTAGTAGTCATGGTAACGCAGCGTGAGGGTTAGTTTAGTGTTAGTAGTCATGGTAACGCAGCGTGAGGGTTAGTTTAGTAGTCATGGTAACGTGAGGGTTAGTTTAGTGTTAGTAGTCATGGTAACACAGCGTTACGGTTTCAACTCTGTCTTTGTGGGAGGGATACCACTACAGGATACTACATAACCAGCTATAGTATATATAACAGAATATATCAGTACTAGTAGCACTGTATCAAGCAGGTTAGCCGCAGTTAGCCACGAAGGTTGTACTTCAGCCACTCAAGAGGTTTATCTGCAATGAAAATGGTAGTGGTAGTAGTTAACCATAGTAACCATAGTAATACTGGTCACTAGTAGTGAGTAGCCGGACTCCACACTTAACTTTCTCACCCACAGGTGGATATTATATTGTTATACTAGTAGTACTACTAGTATTATATTGTTATACTGCTGTAGCTTTGTAGTGCTCGTTTTTATATCTATATATCTAGTTGGGTCATGACTTGATGACTTGCGATCAGATAAATGTACCGCTGTAGTAATGGTAACCAGGTATGCATTCCCATCCCTAAAATTCAACTTAATCCGACCTAGATTCAAGAGATTTTAGCTTAAGAAATGACCTATTTAAACTTAGGGATTTCGCCTTCAAAAGAAAGGAGTGGCCAGCACTTGGTTACCATGACTACAAGTAACACTTACTGTCATTGTAACACCATGTTACCATGACTACTAGTAACACTTACTGTCATTGAGGAGCGACTTGGTTGAACGGGCGGGTTTAGCCTTCAATTATAATGATTTCTTAATTTTAGAGCAAAACAAGTTTTTATATTAATATAAGTACTTAATTTTATTATACACTTGCATAATAAAATTAACTTCAACTTTTACAAATCGAAGGGATAGTCAGACATCAATGTCAAATGTCTCTGGTATAATTTATTCATTCAGTAATAATATTATAATTTTATAGTCCCGCCAGCTAATTTAATCTGTACCAGCTGACAGCGCTTGTCACACGTGTATTAGAGGCTAAATCCTCTTGTCACATAAGGTACTCTTAGTAGGTACCTATCTTAGGTACATATGGATAAACTAGACCTGCTTGAGCCAGAGGTAATCAGGATAGTTATAATCCTCGAGAGCAGGATAGTTATAGAGAGCGGCTCAAGATAAACGACAGTTTTATAGTTTAATATGTGTCCTCCGTTGTCTTACTCCGAGCAGATTATGTGTTTAACACCGTGTTACCATGACTACTAGTAACACCGTGTTACCATGACTACAAGTAACACCGTGTTACCATGACTACAAGTAACACCATGTTATCATGACTACAAGTAACACCATGTTACCATGACTACTAGTAACATCATGTTACCATGACTACAAGTAACACCGTGTTACCATGACTACTAGTAACACCATGTTACCATGACTACTAGTAACACCATGTTACCATGACTACTAGTAACACCATGTTACCATGACTACTAGTAACACCGTGTTACCATGACTACTAGTAACACCGTGTTACCATGACTACTAGTAACACCATGTTACCATGACTACTAGTAACACCATGTTACTATGACTACTAGTAACACCATGTTACCATGACTACAAGTAACACCGTGTTACCATGACTACTAGTAACACCGTGTTACCATGACTACTAGTAACACCGTGTTACCATGACTACAAGTAACACCATGTTACCATGACTACTAGTAACATCATGTTACCATGACTACTAGTAACACCATGTTACCATGACTACAAGTAACACCGTGTTACCATGACTACTAGTAACACCATGTAACCATGACTACTAGTAACACCTAGTTACCATGACTACTAGAACTCACCCAGTCTCCACCCAGTGTTTGACATCGTGTGTCAGCGTCGTGCCACGTCATCAGCTCAGACACGTAGCGATAACAGTAGTTATTGTGAGCCACCCAGCCTGGTTCACATTCCGGACCTGGAATTAATTAAAACAGTTAATTACCAGTTAATTTCCATTAATTAGCAGTTAATTACCAGCTTATTATCAGCTTATTAGGAGTTAATCGACAGTTAATTGACAGTTAATAGTCACTACTTTATTACAAGTAATTTGATGTTAAATAAGGACGAATTTGTTTCTGGCTGTCTCGTTAAGGTTTAGGCTCAATGGAACCTTGGTTACCAATGAAACTAAGGCTCAAACTTTGCTCAGCTTTCACGCTAAGAATGTATTATTTCTATTCGTTTATAGTAGTAGTAGTATATATCCTAACGGACGATGAAAAGGTGCAATTTCATATGCAAGACAAGGGTGCAAGCACTTACAAAAGTCACGTGATAGTTACCATGACAACACGGCTAGAGGGTCCCCCCAATATCACAGCTGCGCCCAATGAAAAGATAAAAAACAACCGCCTATACGGGCATATCGGCACTCTGAGAACAGGACAAGGGCCAGCGTGATAGTTAGTTGCTCATAAGGAAACAGGTATGCTTTCATATGGGAAATAACTTGGAGTTACCTTCGTTAAAGTTACTCAGGAGTGATATTCGTGAGATAGGGACCTCTAACCTCCCTTTAACATAACCTCCCTTTAACATAACATATCCCTGATAACTAATCAATAACTCCGGCATCTCTTCCCCCGAACATTGCAATATTATTACCATAACAACACTAACATTACCATGACAACACTACCATTCCTGCAGCTATTGCACAATGCACAAGCCTCAACTATAACTATTTTGTAAAGAGAGAAACACACAGCTTACTCTTACTCTTAAATACAGTTGAGAACCTTACACAGACCCAGCTTACTATTACTCTTAAATACAGTTGAGAACCTTACACAGACCCAGCTTACTATTACTCTTAAATACAGTTGAGAACCTTACACAGACCCAGCTTACTATTACTCTTAAATACAGTTGAGAACCTTACACAGACCCAGCTTACTATTACTCTTAAATACAGTTGAGAACCTTACACAGGACTGCTTTGCACAATCTGGTTAACTTTAAACTGATTCTGGTGCTAAAACAGAGTGTATAACTCCTCCTTTCCAGTCAATCTGATGATTGCACACAGCATAGGCAATGGATATTGTCGAATATGAAAACGATAATATGGATATTGCATATTACAAACCACTGATACTGATTAGTGTGTACTCGCCTGTAGTACTAAATCATCTTCATCTCACTTTTTATTCGACCATTTGAATAAGTTTAAGGTAGTTCTAGTGCCTTTTTATTCGACCATTTGAATAAGTTTAAGGTAGTTTTAGTGCAGTCTCGCAGCCAACCATTGTAAGCCTTGAATAAAGACATAAATAAATCAGTCATCCTGCAGCTATTACCACGGCAACATATTGCTTTCATAACTGCAATATTGCATCAGAGGATTGCACTTACATTTGCTCCTTCATAACATTTACTCCTTCATTTAAACATTTATGCTTGCTCGCCGTCCCCAATCAATAATATTCCGTTATACCGCTATATTATAAGCACGCAGCATATTCCTTCAATAGCACTACAAGCGACCGTGAAGACCACATTTTTTATTTGGATTTTTGCTGGGTTGTGTATTGTACCCAGCTTTGTTTTCACTGTTTATTAGACAGCCGTCGCAATGAGAGTAAAATTTATCCATTATTAATCGCTATTAATACTCATTTTTCATTTTTTTATGGGGACCCGTATCTATTTCAGGTAGACCCCGCAGAGCGGGAGTCTATCGCGAGACAGCATAGAGTACCCCAGGGCCCGGTGTTTGTCTTTGTGGGAAGAAACACTATGGTTACTATGGTTACTATGGTTACTACTCTCACTTTTCAAGCAAATAGGAGGTAATCTTAACAACCCTAACAAAAGTGCTGAATAAAGAAACACTATGGTTACTGTGGTTACTATGGTTACTACACTCACTTTTCAAGCAAATAGGAGGTAATCTTAACAACCCTAACAAAAGTGCCGTATAAAGAAACACTATGGTTACTATGGTTACTAAGGTTACTACACTCACTTTTCAAGCAAATAGGAGGTTGATCCCAGACCCCGATGGGAAGCCTGGAGTCCATGTCCCTGCAGTCACTGACAGCGTTTCCTCGCAGCATGTACCCTATATCACACTGGTACCTGATCTTAGAGCCCACTGCGTACGGCTGAAATAGTGAGTAGGTAACATGAATATTGTGGAAGTTAGTTATTTCCACTAGCAGCTGGTTTGCTGAAAGAAATTATTTAGATTTATTTAAATATTAAGTATTTAGCTTTAATATATGCTGCTATATATTTGTTATATATAACAGATAATTTGAGTTCCGATGAAGCGGTTGTGAGAAATGATTAATTAACTATTTGGGCGTATACTGATTATACTGATTATACTAAATATACTAAATATACTAATTATACTAATTATACTAATTATACTAATTATACTAATTATACAAATTATATGAATAGCTATCAGCATATAACAGTCGCCCAACCATTCATTTCGGCAACACTATAGTATTGTAAAGAAGAGAGTAGTTGTTTCAAGTTGAGAGTATGAAAATGAAAAATTTTGGCCCTGTTCGAATTCTGAGTTTAATCAGAAAGTAGCAGAAAACGTTTCTTACAAGGCTTCAAGTGTTCTAGAAAGTTCATTGTCAAATTGCAACCTGGGAAAAAAATATAGCAACTCTTGATCTTACTCTATATAATATATAATATCTTACCGAGGAAGAAATATAGCAACTCTTGATCTTACTCTATATAATATATATAATATCTTACCGAGGAAGGCGGGTCCACGTAAAACTTTCCGTTGTGTAGTCTGGAGTTGGAGGGGTCCCGACAAAATATTTCTGAAATTAATTAGCTGTTTATGGTGATGAGACATTTATCTCTATATTATGTGAGATTGTAGTATTCGAACTAGGGTGGGTTATCTGACATAACGTTGTTATGGAAACGTGTCCTTATTATATATCTTTAAAAGGGAGCTACTCGACATGTTGTCTTCATTTCAGCTCTTGTTCTTCATCTTACGTGGCAAAGTTCTTGTCACGTGACCAAATGAGCGTACTGAGCACTGTGATCATAGAGTGGGAGTGGGCACTGTGACCATGACTCTTATCTCTCTATATTCAGCTTAATATGATGGCCATACAAATACACATTGTCAACGTACGCCCATACCACTGGCGTTACCATGGTTACACTGGCGACTACTGTTACCATGGTTACACTGGCGACTACGCCCCTGTCACTGGCGGAGTGTGGCTTTTATAATTAATCAAACTTGTTGCGACGGTTTTGAGCAGCTGAGCAGTGACCATACAGCTTTATATCTATCAACCTCAACACTCAGACCTATAATGAATTAAATATCTTCCCTGCTTTGACTTTCACCGTTTCCTATTTATTTCATAAAAGGGATCAGGGTTACCCAGTTGGTTGAACCTGGCACAATTGGTAACCATGGTAACCTGTGACCCGCTGTGCGAGATTCAACTTCCTCCGGTTCGTTGTCCGGAATTAATAAGATCCAGGTGATGTGTTCATTGCAAGATATTTGCTCTACAATCTCCAAGATTAACAAATAAGTTCAATAGCACGTGGAGGATATACAAACTATCGGGGTAAAGCGGTTGCTTGGTGACCATAAAGCACTGTTACCATGACAATGCAGTTCCGTTACTCATATCTCCACAAATCTCACACTACCTATCACACATTTAGCGCTTAAGTCTAAATAAAATATTATTCCATAAAGAGCAATCAGATTGTGTTGCTGTTTTAGTGTAATATGGTATTAAACTAGTTTAGTGCTCAACCATGGGGCGTTATATAATTTTTCCTGCAGTACCCAGCAATCACCCGATTGTTTTCCAGGTCACAAAAATATCCTTTTGTTTGATTCGTTTGGCGATGTGCCCATTGCTTAACGTCTCGGAGAACAATTTGTTAACAATTTAATCGCCAGAACGATTTCAGCAAACACTATATTATTATGTTTAGTCGCTTTCCGTTCCTAGCCATTTAGCAAAACTGAATCCTTGTTTAGGTGGCCATTATTTCACTTGCAATCGTTAGTTTCACACACCTTGATAAAAACTTGCTCAATCGTCTAAATAAGAAACCACCTGATTCATTTAACCCCCGTTACTATGGTAACCCCCTCAGTTGGTTAACATTTGTGCTACAGTGTTAGAATATGACGTACCAGTACACTTGACGTTGTCAAAAGACCAGGTCCCGTCTGCTTGACAAGTTGTTGATGTGGTGGCGTTCTCAGGGCGGTATCCAACCCGACACTTGGTATCCACGGTAACGGAACTCCCGACAGGAACTATACTGGATGTTGCGTTGGCTGGTAGCGTGTAACCACTCAGTTGGCTCGCGTCGCATCCAATCGCTGCAGAGTCAGGGTCAGTAAACACCGTCTTAATAAATGTGTAAACACTAGCATATTACTGGGGTTGCCCGCCCACCACCATTACTATGGTTATTATGGTTACTATGGTTACTATGGTTATTATGGTTACTATGGTTACTATGGTTACTATGGTTACTACTCACTCTTCTGGCGGACATAAGAGTGGAGAGAGTTGTCCCCCCCCCCCCCCCCCCCCCCCCCCCATTATTAATATGGTTATTGGTTACTATGGTTACTACTCACTCTTCTGACAGACGTAAGAACGGAGAGTTCCCATCCCTGATTACTATGGTTACTTATTACTATGGTTACTATGGTTACTACTCACTCTTCTGGCAGACATAAGAGCGGAGAGAGTTGCAAGTCTCGTCATTCCATTTCCCTGAAGCGTCCTCTATCTCGGCACACTCTTCTGATCTGAAGGGCCAGAACTGATTGTTGGGTTCTCCAGCGGCCCAGTTCTTGAAGGAAGCAGCCCGGCTCACTACACTCCACTCCCAGGCTTGAGTTGAGGTGTTCCTGAAAATATAATATTATACCACCATGACAACACAAGACTCTTTGAAAGCACAGCAATTAAACAAAATATAGGTCGAGGTGGGCCAATTTGAGATTGAACAACAAATAGGCGGAACCCTTAAGTCAGTCGGAGGGTTTCCGTTATTAATCTAACAAACTGTCGTACTCACTGATTGTGAAGTCCAATCCAGGATCTGAAACCTCTCGAAACGTTGGTGGTGATGAACTCGTTGGTTTTTATACTCGGTATCACGGCTAGCAGGGCTCCCTGTCCGACACAACTGAAGGAATATTATTATCACCATGACAACACAAGACACAACTGAGGAAATATTATTAGAGAAATTCAAAACATACTCAAAATCGAGATATAAGCTCTTAGCAACGTGTTGCACTTTAGGCTGACAAGGATTTTAAGTCTAACTATATTTGTGGCTAAGTATATACGCAGTTCATTACAAAAGTAGGTCACCTATTTCTAGCATCTTTCCAGGCGAGAGAGGCGGGAAAGAAGCGGTAACAGTTGCTTGAGTGGGGGTCTTGAAGCCAACCTAGATCACAGGTCCTGCTCCCTAAACATTCTGCACCTGAAATACCCTCCGTTACACACAGATACACTGTTACTATGGTTACACACACACTGTTACTATGGTTACACACACTCTGTTACTATGGTTACACACCGCACATACCTACTGTGTACGGGTGTTATTTGAGAACTTATCAGTATGTTTAAACCAACTCATAATGATATTTATAGTACTTTATTACATAATTTAATAATTTCACTTACTTTAAAACTTAATAAAGAGATAAAACTCACCTTGGAATACGGAAAGAAACACAACAAAAAAAGCTAAAACTACGCTAAAATACATTATAACTAAAACTAAATGCTAAACGGATTTACGACGTTGCAGAAAATCAAAGCAGTGTAGTTTGAGGAAGGCATTTATACACACGAGTGCGTTGCTTATCTCGCATAACGTCAGGGTAACACCCGATACCATGCGTTGTTACGTGTCCTTCACATAGTATTCAGCTGCCGATAAGAGAAAGGGAAGCGCCCTTCAGTTACCATGGTTACCTTCACTATACAGTCACCTTGTGGACAAGGAGGCGCCTTACAGCACTGTTACCATGGTTACCACTGCATTACCATGGTTACTACAGCACTGTTTCAAATGTCCAGCATCAGGATCCACTGAGCGCATATTGGAGACACATGTTCGGGAGGAACAGTCTGCAGCAGACTTGCACTCTTCAGCACTCTTTTCATGGCAACAGTCCCCAGTGTTCTGCAAATCTAGGTGTCATTCTTCCGGTAGGTATTAATTTTCCATTGTTTGCAGATAAAGAATTAACGAATTGTTGAGTCGCGTGTCGCACTTGGCAGTTCCTCCTTGTTAGTTTTCTGCGTAATAACACATATTTGAAAAACAACTTCCGGAATGATGAGGGCAAGTGTATTCTTGTATTTTGATCGCGTCATTTTTTATCGACAAATTACATTTATTAAAGATATTGATCAGATAAATTATGTTGTCTAGTTGATAAAATGTGTAGGAGTCTCCACAGAATTTACGGAAAATGACGTGATCTGAGAGCCCAGTCTTCCCTCAGCTAACCGATAACTAATGCTAACTACTAGTTTCAAGTATGGTTACTATGGTTACTACTAGTTTCAAGTATGGTTACTATGGTTACTAATAGTTTCAAGTAATCTTTAGGATTTGAGAGTGACCTGTGCTTGAAACCCCCTCAATCATCCACTACGTCAATATACTTATTATACAAACTAGCAGGAACCCGTATAATATAACCCTGAACGGTGTCAAGACTCAAGAGACTAAAATAATTATTACCTATTTAATTCGCGTTTTTGACACCACTAAAGGGTCCAAATTTTGGGCTCTAAAATCCTTATTCCTTGACATATTTTTTATTTTTTCATGCTGATTTGGAAGCCATTAAAGCATTTGACCCAGTCAAAAAAGTTTCAGTTGTATATCTTTTACGGTTTTTGCGGAAAGTCGCGTTAAAGTTGATGCCGTGGTGTCGGTAAAATGGCACGGAAAACTATCGTCTCGCTTTATATATAGTAAGATATAGAAAAATATAATAATCTAAAATTACTTATTGGTCTAGTTTGGTGACACAGGAGAGCCCAGTTGAGTTTTAGTTTAGGTTTAGGTTTTAGATCATAGTTCAAAAGGTTAGCCATGTTTCATGGCAGAGAGAGATATCATGTGTGCAGAGCCGTACCGGATGTAGAATTTGAGATATAATATAGATTAGTTACCATGTATTAGGGTCATCTCGATTTTGGAGGGATAGCAAGTGCTTTTTAAGGTTAGATTTAATAATACCTGACGAGGCTGATAAGTCTGAATTTTTGGAAGAACCCGGGATTATTATCCCATCTTCATTAGCATCACATATTTCGGGCTGAGGTCATTCCAAATTTTCGTAGAGGTGTACAAAACGTTCTGTTGGGAGATATCTAACCGCAGTAATGGGACAATCAGACGAAGTTTTTCATTTCTAGGACAGAACTTGAAAAGATCTTTATTCGACTGGGGAACATCAAATTTAAGAATTTTGAATAGTTCCATAAATGTGTGGTACATGTGCAGATTCTCCAGGTTCATAATTTTCTGCTCAGTGAATAGCGGTTTAGTGTGTTCAAGACAGTAGTTCTTGCTAGCCATATGTTCGTTATAAGTTCTTGAACGTGCACAGGTTAAATAGTATTCTTTATGATCAAAATTGGGAATGTTACCAAATAGCAGTCTTATACATCGTTTTTGAATTGCAAAGATTTTATTCAGCTTATGTTTAGGGATCCCACCCCAGCAACTTATACAATAGCTAAGATGTGACATAAAAAGAGCATTGTATAGTTTCAAATATTCAGATTTGGGAATGAATTTGCAAATTCTCTTAATCGATACAATACTGGAGTTCAGCTTTAAAGATAAATGATTAAGATGTGGTTCCCAGCTTAGCTGTTCGTCTATTATCACCCCAAGAAACTTTGTACATTGAACTTTTTCTAGCTTTTTGCCATCTTTTAAAATCGTTAGATTCCTGTTAAAGGGCCGTGTTCTGGCCCTTTTAAACCCATCGAAAAATATTGTTCCTAGTCGGATTTATCGCTGGTCAAGGTTGCTTGTGAGCAATTGTATTGCGCGAGCGATTTTCAGGTTATGTTCTAATGATCATTTAGAAGAGATTTATCATCTAAACATTTTTATTCAGTTTTGAATAATGAATATCTTGGACCTCTATTATATACCGTGCCTCTCTATACCGGGTACCTCTATTATATACCGTGCCTCTCTATACCGTGCCTCTCTATACAGGGTACCTCTATTATATACCGTGCCTCTGAGTTTTCCCTATACGTTGAATTAATAAGCTCGAGTTGTGCGAGAAATGTGACTCATCATGGCTCATAACGCGTTTGGTCGGTGATTAGAGTAAATATCGAGCTGTATTGCATCACAATACGACTTATTAGAGCTTTTCATCTAGAGGTGCACCATATTTTTCATATTATGGAGCCAGGGACTAGGACATGTACAACACGTGCTTAAAAGGGCCTGCTGGGGTATATGATACGCTTGACAGGTTATTTTATTGAGGCTACAGATACTGTCGATTGGAATAGTTTGAACCTCTATAGTCTATACCAGGTTTTCTTTTCTATACCGTGCACTTTTCGTTTTCCCCGAGATATATAGAAGTTTGACTGTATTTGAAAAGATTTTTAATAAAACTTGATCTGGGGAGCTTGTGAGAGAACCAACTATCGCCCTGCCTACATCAAACATGTGATGCGATGTATACTGTAACCATGCCATCATGTGATGCCCTGTATTCTGTAACCATGCCAACATGTGATGCCCTGTATTCTGTAACCATGCCAACATGTGATGCCCTGTATACTGTAACCATGCCAACATGTGATGCCCTGTGCCTCTGTATTCTGTAACCATGCCAACATGTGATGCCCTGTATTCTGTAACCATGCCAACATGTGATGCCTTGTATTCTGTAACCATGCCAACATGTGATGCCCTGTATTCTGTAACCATGCCAACATGAGATGCCCTGTATTCCGTAACCATGCCAACATGTGATGCCCTGTATTCTGTAACCATGCCAACATGAGATGCCCTTTAACCATGCTATCATGAGATGCCCTGTAACCATGCCAACATGAGATGCCACGTAACCATGCCATCATGAGATTCCCTGTAACCATGCCAACATGAGATGCCCTGTAACCATGAAATAAACTTTTTTAGGAGTATGTAATCTTTCTGATCAAGACAATACATTTCAACAGTTACGCTTAGGGGCCATCTCAGACCACCCCCCCCTCCTTCTGTCCGGGTGCAGTGTGTCCGAATTTTCGAAACCACCCCCCTCCCTCGGACGTCCGGATTTCCAGCTACTTTTAAGAGTACAAATAAAACCAACTCAAATTCATTGTTAAAAAAATGTGTAGTTACTTAAAATAGACAATAATACATTTAGTGTCGAACAAGTTTAGCACAGTTGTCAGTTACATTTAAGTACATTTAAGTACTCGTTCAAAATACAGGTAGATCAAAGAGTAGAAATAAATGGGACTTTTTCGTTAATTCTGCCAAAATTTCTGGACGTCCGGATTTTTATAAACCACCCCCCCCTCCCCCTGTCCGGAATTTCAGACACCCCCCCCCCCTCCTGTCCGGATTTATCCGAAATTCCAACACAACCCCCTCCCCTCCAGTAGCAGTAAAATATTAGAATTTATACCATCCACTCAACATGATAACCTTCGACTACTTTGCTTACCGCAGAAATTGGATCAAAATGCGGCGATAATTCAGGGCCATATTTATGAAAAGTTAACTGTATTTACTATTATATTATACTATTTATCCATATATGAAGATATCCATCATTAGTTAAAGATTTCAGTTAAAGATTTCAGTTAAAGAGGCAGGAGAATTAATATCCTACAAAATATGAGATATATAATATATATGTCTTATATTTTATGGAATATTATATATTCTTTATAAGATATTATATTATATATTTCAATATTAAATATTCCATTACTACAGAAAGGTAAGTTCGCACACGGCTGACGTTTAACCTAGTTTAAGGGTTTGAATTAATCTTTGGCGGATAGTAAGCAGTTCTCACCCAGATTGGAATTCGTTTCAGAGCTCTCGAATATTCTGTCGAATTAGCTTAATCGCCTACTTTGTAACCATGATAACTAGTAGCAATATTGTAATTAATCGTGCCTACTTTGCCTGTAACCATGCCAACATGAGATACCCTGTAACCATGCCATCATGAGATGCCTTGTAACCATGCCAACATGAGATACCCTGTAACCATGCCAACATGAGATGCCCTGTAACCATGCAACATTTCCTTGTAGTTCTGCGTAATATCTTACTATATATAAAGCGAGACGATATATATATATATTTATTTATCCGCACCATTTTACTGACACCACGGCATCAACTTTAACACGGGTTTCCGCAAAAACCGTACAAGATATAAAACTGAAACT